GTCACTAGAGTTCACTTTATAGGCCTGTCTTTTGTTTGGCTGAATAGGAGCTCTGATGGTGTAGAGCCTAAGGCATTTGACTGCTAACCAGAAGGCTGTTAGTTCAAATCCACCAGCCACCCTGTGGAAAAAAGACTGGGCAATCTACTTACGTAAAGATTTACCACCTGGAAAACCCAAAGGGGGGGGTCACTATAAGTTGGAATTGACTTGATGGTGGTGAGTTTGGTTTGGTTTTTATTGTTTGGCTGAAAGGTGATCTCAAGGAGTGGGTTTAGTTCTAACTTTGAAGGGTGTCTAAAGGCCATAGTCTTTGGTGTTCCACCACTCTCTAGTGGGCTGGTCTTTTTATGAACTTAATTTTGCATTTTTGTCACTCTGTTCCAGACTGTTAATTGTGATTGTGGTCAGAGCTGTTAGTGGTAGTGGTACCCAGGCATCATCTAATTGTTCTGGTCTCAGGCTAGTAGAGGCTGTGGTTCATGTGGGCCGTTAGTCCTTTGGTGTAATTGTTTTCTCGAGTCTTTAGTTTTCTTCACTCTTCTTTGCTCCAGATGGAAGAGACCAATAGTTGTATCTTAGATGTCCATTCACAAGCTTTTAAGACCCCAGTGGCCACTCACCGAAGTAGGATGTAGAACATTGTCTTTATAGACTATGTTATACCAGTTGACTTGGTTGTCTCCTGAAATTATGGCCCCTAGCCCTCAAGCCCAGTAACTCAGTCCCATGAGGTGTTTGGTTATGGCAAAGAGGTTTTCATGACTGTGCCCCCTGTGCACTTTAATATATGTTGTTGTTGTTGTTAAGTACCTTCGAGTTGATTCTGACTCATAGCGACCCTGTGCACAACAGAATGAAACACTGCCTGGTCCTGCACTATCCTCACAATCCTTGCTATACTAGAGCCCATCATTGCAGCCACTATGTCAATCCATTTCTTAAAGGGTCTTCCCCTTTTTCTCTGGCCCTCCACTTTACTAAGCATGATATCCTTCTCCAGGGAATGGTCCCTTCTGGCAACATGACCAAAGTAGGTGAGATGAAGTCTGGCCATTCTCGCTTCCAAGAAGCATTCTGGCTGCACTTTTTCCAGGACAGACCTGTTCATTCTTCTGGCAGTCCATGCTATTCTCAGTATTCTTTGCTAACACCACAATTCAAAGGCATTAGCCCTTCTGTGGTCTTCCTTATTCATTGTCTAGCTTTCACAGGCATATAAGGTGATTGAAAATACCATGGCTTGAGCTAGACATACCTTAGTGTTCAAAGAGGTATCTTTGCTCTTCAGCATTTTAAAGAGGTCTTTTTCAGCAGATTGCTCAGTGCAGTACGATGTCTGATTTCTTGATTGCTGCTTCCCTTGGTGTTGATTGTGGAACCTAGTAATATGAAATCTTTGACAACTTTAGGCTTTTCTCCACTTATTGTGATGCTGCTTATTGGTTCAGTTGTGAGGATTTTCATTTTCTTTATGTTAAGGTGTAATCCATACTCTAGACTGTGCTTTAAACTTCATCAGTAAGTACCTCAAGTCATCTTCACTTTTAGCAAGCAAAGTTGTGTCATCTGCAGATCATAGGTTGTTAATGAGTGTTCCTTCAATGTTGTTGTTGTTGTTATGTGCCGTCGAGTCGGCCCCGACTCATAGCGACCCCTCCTTGGGTTTCTGAGGCAGTATCACTACGGAAGTAGGATTGCCCAACCTTCCTTCTGAGGAGTGGCTGGTGGGTTTGAACCGCCAGCCGTCTGGTTAGCAGGCAAGTGACTTAGCCACTATGCTACCAGAGCATCTTCCTTCAATACTGATGCCATATTGTTTTTCATATAGTCCAGCTTCTCGGATTATTTGCTCAGCATACAGATTGAATAAGTGTGGTGAAAGGATACAACCCTGTCGCACACTGTTCCTGATTTTAAACTGTGCAGTATCCCCTTGTTCTATGTCCTTGATGCTCTAAGAGCTGTTATTACATTTAGCCTTGATTGCAAAGCATGTGTTTAAATAGTTTCTCCAGGTCGATTGCACTTGGGGGAATGGGGGCCATGGAAGGAACAGGAACACAGAATGAAGGCCAGAGCTCTCCTTATCTCTTATCAGTTTTAGAAACTTCACTTTAGTATCAAATGACTTTTATCAGAAGGAATCCTATTTAGTTGCAGTGGCTTGATGGTATTGGCTTAAAAAGAAAAAAAAAGTATTAAGAACCGTCCAATATAGAGCAAAAAGGAGCTCTGGTGGTGTAGTGGTTAAAGCATTCACTTGCTAACCAAAAGGTCGGCAGTTCAAACTCACCAGCCGCTCCATGGGAGAAAGATGAGGCAATCTGCTTCCATAAAGATTTATAGCCTTGGAAACCTATGGGGCAGTTCTTTTCTGTCCTATAGGGTCACTGTGAGCCAAACTTGATTTGATGGCAGTGGATGGGTTTTAATATGGAGGAAAGTGTATTAGTGGTTAACAGGCCCAGGAGGGAGAGGAAAAAGGGGAGTTACTAAAGGGACACTTAAGTTTCTATAAAAGGTGGTGAAATAATTTGGAAATGGACAGTTGTGATGGTTGCACAACATCATGAACATGACTAATGTCACTGAATCATACGTGTAAAAATGAAAGTGTTTTGTTGTACATATTTACCACAATGTCAAAAAAGCTTTTGTTTATTTTG